GGCTCACGTGTCCGCTTCGCGACTCAAGCTCAAATCAAGGGAACGACTTTTAACGTACGGCGAAGTGAGAACACCCTCTCGCCCAAGTGCTTTCTTTCGTGTCAGGCCTTGTTGTTGGCCAAGACACAAACCCTCAGCTTGTCGTTGTTCTCCTTCTACTCCCCAGCAAATTTACATGGACCCTCGCAAAGAAAAAAAAAAATAAAAGAAGAAGAAAAAAACAGCACACACACACACAGACAGACACACACACACACACAGACACACACACACACACACACTCACACACATCAGAGGAAAGCCCTTCTGACGGATTCAATCTCAATTGCTGGAGGAATAAACAGGGGGCACCCTTTCTATCTCGGTGTCAAGGTCCAAAACGGAAGATCAAGAGGTTTAGCCCTTACTCCACTGCAGATTGACATGGAACCGAAACACTATCAGCGTTAGAGGAATTTCCTTTCTCGCTCCCAAGCCTCCTGGGCTGCTTTGGCGCGGGAATCTCCCAGTGCATCCATCGCCTGCCGATTGGACTATCGCGGGACCCGTTCCTTTGCTCGACCCCCAACCGGTAAGCCAAGAGGTAGAATGGATGTCAAGACATAGGTTTGGGGGCCCCCTTTGGGTTTTCTTCCCTGTCCAATAACCCAGCCTGGCAACGGGAAAAAGGGTGCCGCTCGAAAGATAAAGCTCACCGAAAATTGGCCAACAGGTGGATGTGGGCAATATAGAAACTCCGACCAGGGGTTCGAAAAAAATAAAATAAAAAAATACTGAATTACTACTTAACTAATGCTTCTTGAACTTTGTCAGAAGGAACTCCAGAAACGACCGATGATTGGATGAACCCTTCCTTGTGGATCGGACACTTTTTTTGTGTGCTCCATAGTGAAATTCAGGGAGCACTTCTTAGTTGTCCGTGGCGCTACTGATCATCTTCTCCTCTCGCAGCAAGTCGCCATCAAAACTGCATTTGTGTAGGGAATTCCATGTCCAGAGTGCACATTCAGTTTTGTGTGCAGATTCTTGCCAGTGTTTTACAATGCCTCTCTTTGAAACATCGTTGCGGTGGATAGGCGATGGAATTCGACTGAGCTCTGCTCTCTTCTTCTGGCTGAAGATGGGCTGGCGAGTCATGTGCTTGGCTTCAATCAAGCGAAGCTCAACTGCCCAAAGGACCTGGAAATCAAGGGTTGACCTGGAACTGCAAACACCCTGACAAACAAGATCCTTCGGATTTAAATGGAGCCCTTTTCTGGGTTCCAACTGAATCTGCCGGGGCCCAGCGCGTTTTAGGTATCACCGGCTGGATCTTGTGCGTGATGAGTGTAGGAAATCATCTGGTGCAAATGTGAGGACCTATCCTTGGGAGTGCTCATTTGTGTTTGCCAGCTCATATGGGACAGCATGTGCAGTTGCAGATGAAGGACTACGCGCTACGAAGAAGTGCATTGTGCAGTGCTTGCTTATGAGACTGTTTCCTCAACCTGGACAACCAGCAACGTTCATAGTGAGTTTGGGATTGGAAACCAACCACCTCAACAACACCAAGGTTTGGCACCCATGGAGATTGATCGTGTTTCAAATCCAAGCTGGCAGCAACCCTGGAACAGCAAAGGTGGAAAGTTTGGCAAAACCGGCAAAGGCGGCGCGCGGCTTGCCTGCTGCAGCTCCTCCGCAGCGGCGCGGGCGGCGTGCGCCTCCGCGCCGCAGGCCTTGAGGCGCGGGCGCAGGGACTCGAGCCTTGGCGCAGTGGGGGAGGGGTGGGTTGAGGGGTTGGGTGGGTTGGCTGGGTTGGGTGGGTTGGGTGGGTGGGGGGGGTGGGGGGGGTGGAGGGGGGGTGGGGGGGGTGGGGCCGTGGGGGGGGTGGGGGGGTGGGGTTTGGGGCAAGCTGCTGGGGGGGGTAGGTGTGGAACAGAGATGAAGAAGGATCAATCCAAGCAACCCGGGTTGAAGTTGTGGATTCACTTGACGGGGGTCAAGAGAAAGCAGGCAGGTGACATCCTACTTGCAGGACTATGTCTCGGGTCCTAAAGTGATTGTGGATGCCCCTTGAAAGACATTAAGCAACACATTGTTGTGGTCATCCCAGTGTTTGCGACAAGAGGAGCATTCACTCTCCCCCAATCTGCTTTCAGGGTAAGTTAGAAGGAACTGTGAAATCGACCGGGTTTGTGAGGTTCAATTCCTGTTAGGAAACTTTCTATAAATTCACCAGGCAGTCCAAAAGAAGGCGTGTGCCCTTTCTGGGACATTGATGACATTTTCTGCCTTCAAGTCTACGTGACCCATTCAGTGCTGGGTCATCCCACTGAACCTCGGACCACAATTCTTGCAGTCCAAGGCTACCTAACAGACTGTGTGGCATCGGGACTGGCTTTTGCTTTGTACCGTAGGCAACCTGAAGCAAATGACTTGCCGACGGAAGCATTGGGCAATGACCAGGTCACATTCACACGAACGAACACCTTTTGTAGACAAATCAGCAGCACGTGTCAGGGACCATTCAGTGCTGTGCGTCCGTGATGTTCTTGCACATGATTGTGTGCGCAAAATGCATAAGCACACCTCTTCATGCCAACTCAGTTACTGTGCGATGTCGCGTTCCACGGCTCCCCGTCGTTCTTGCCGGCAAGGGGTGGACAACCGGCAGCGACTGGAGTCCGTGACTGGACGCGTGAGACGCTCAGCAAGCGGAGACACACAGAACAAAGGCGCTGCGCTACGTCTTCCACTCCGCAGGCTGCAATCGATCAAGAACCTTGCCGGCCGAGCAGCACTGCCGTAGCGGCCTGACGGTCGACCACCGCCTGAGTTGGATCCTTGTCGAAGAACATGTTCACAGCTTCGGCCTTCAGCTTCTTCTCTCTGATTAGTGGATTAGGGTGCAATATAATACCTGTTACTACAAAATAGCAAAACAAAGAGACGTAAAACCCGGTGCAGCCCGAGAAATCCAGAAAAGACGGCAAACGTAAAGCCCTGCCAATCCGGCTAAAACCCGATAAAACTCAGGCAAGCCCTGGCAAACCAGACCAAACCAAACTTCCGACGCCCTTCCCGCCAGGGCCGAGCCCCGGGCGCTTCCCCACAAACGCGGAGCTTCTCCCCGAGAGCAGCGCACCGCGCCTCTGCCTCGATGCCAAAGGATGACAAGATGGCGTGGGTTTGTTTTCTTTCTTCCCATGACCAACATATTCCTAGACGGCGCGAGTCCCAAAATTACCATGCTGGTGATTGGCGTCCCACAATACCCCATGATCAACTCCCTTTTGCCATTGGTTGAATCATCCCCTTGGATGGCTTTCCCACATCGATGGTTTTGCAGAGTACGTCGATGGTTTTGCAGAGTACATCGATGGTTTTACGGAGTGTCCTTGTCCCGGCCACTCATCCTAAAGTGGATGTCGCAAGTCCGAAACTTATTTGATGTTTCCCCAAAGTATCCTTGTCCTAGCCTTACTACTAGATGGTTGTTTAATCATCCATGTGGTGTCTTAGTTTTCTGTAAAATATATTTACCTAGAATGTTTCAACAAATAGATGACATAATCCCTGAATGAACCGACATGTTGATGGCACAGTCCCACAATACCCAATGACCCATTATCTTATTTGTGTGGGTACGTAAAGGGAATGGTTTCAACAGGAGCAAAAGCATACTGGCGGAAGGGGAAGTGTCAACAAAAGAAACAACGAGCTTTGCAACGTGGTGAAAGTCGATGGCACAGTTCCCTTGGTCTCCTTCAAATGAACTTATATTGTTGGGTAGACTGTAGACTCAACATGAAAGAGAATCTGAAGATAGATGTGTTTGCGGCCAAGTTGTAAAGTAACATGGGGTCCACCAGTAGTGAGTCAGTTTTAGGTGGGAGCTGAAAAAATCACGCTCTTTTGGGATGTGGCTTGGAGGAAAACCCGCCATGAAAACGACCTGGTCTCACGGGTAATTACGCTTGTTAAGGCCACACTGAAATGTGAGGCGGAAGCTGAAAGGCTTCAATCTTAGGAAACCTGATCGGTGCGAAATGAAAGCATGTATTGAAACATGGGCTAACACCAGCTAAGACATGTGGCCTTTGTGAACAAGTCGCTTGAACCCTCAAGTGCGTGGCTCAAGGCAGAAATCGACCCACACACCCGGGCCCTTTTTCGGGTAGGTCATTGGTGGTTTGTCCGTGATCCCAAAATTACGTCTAGAATCTCATATCCCCGCTCACAGCAGCCGGATGTGTCTCAACGTGAGCCACTTTCCCGTTGGTCTTTAAGGGAAACCAAAAGGACACCAGCCATTCTAGGGGACCCCTAGTTTGAGAGAGACATCCAGCCCGCGCCTCCTGCAATGCTGCCTTCTCGGTTTGCAATCCATTGGCCGCGCCACCTGATCTACCGCACGCCAGCGCACATCAGCTTGTTTCTCTTTATACAGGACCCTCAAAATGAGTGGCTTCCCTTCGGCCTTCGCCCTTTGCATTGCGCGGCAGCTGTCAAAAGTGGGCACTTAGACCTCCAGTGGATCTCCTTGAGAAAAGAGCCACGCTTTCTGAGGTTGTTGACTTCAAACTGAAGCCCTGAGACCCTGCATGTCCCCGCCCTAGTAAAATCCAATGAGAGCCTCACAACGGTATCACCAACGGAAAATCTGCTGGACGAAGGGTAAAATACACTGTGGTTGTTGATACCAAAAGGATAAACAAAAACAAAACTCAAAACCCCAACACCCCGAAACTCCAAAGCCCCAAAGCCCCAAAACCTAGCCACTCCCGAACAAAGTCGCAAAAAAGGAAATGACACCGGTTGGTTCGCACCTGCCACAGCGCGGCCAGCCGCGCTCAGGGCACCTATGGGGCGAACCCAGCTCTGACTCTGATGACCCGGAACTGGTTGACCACCCCATGGGTTTTGCTTCAAACAAATCAAAGTCCGCTGGAAAACTGGATACCGCCAAAGAACATGTTGCTTGAAAAGGAAAACAAAAGAAAACCACCCCAGACAACCCATGTTGCCGATTGGAAAAGCCCATGGCCCACATCTCGGGAAACAAAGCTGACCCTTTGCCGCCAGATCTCCCAAAGGCAACGATTGCCTGACAACGCGGGCTGCAAGGCCGAGCTCCCAGATCTCTATGTTTCTTCAGGTGCCCATGGCCTTGTGAAAAGGGATTGCGAAAGGCACCCTTGGAACTAGCTGGTATGCGGCAAGTTTCTGATTCGGGCTGTTGAAGCTAGGCCTGGCACGTTGAAGAGGAAGTCACATGAACCTGCTTGAAGGGTGGTGTAAGGTGAGAATGCGATTGGGACAGTTTGGAAGCGAAACACGTGGAATATCAAGTAAGGGCACCCTATTGTCCTTCTTCTTAATTTTGCTCACTCAGAAAGAATATAAAAGATTCGGCCAGCACATCCTGATCTGGGAGGGATCTGAGATTCATTCAATTTCCGGAACAAGAAGAAAGAAAACAAAACAAAACAAGAAAAAACACATGCAGACTCACTCTTGTTCCACGTCGAGCGCAGGCGCAGCATACTAGCCATGTGACAATCCTGTGACCCGAGGGCAGCCCCAAACCAGGAGTGGGGGGGGGGCTGGGTTCGTCCTGTGTAAAGGTCTCGCAAGGGAGTATTTCAAGCCCTGCGACTGGAAAGGCAAGCAAGGTGCGTGGCCCCCCGTTGTTTGGTTGGTTTGAAAGGAGGGTTCACTACTTTGAGAAACTCCCATGTCTTTGCAGATCTTCTCGGTTGTGACCAACCGATTCCAGGAACCCTACACTTTTAGGGGCCCCGGTAAATTTCTTCGAGGCAATCTAGAATCTAGAATTCCAAATTGACGTGGGGGCCCTCCACGTGTGTCCTTCCTTACACTATTCCGGAAACAGAGTTGGTCCAAAAACATGCAAGAAAACCAGGAAGGGGTCAACAAACACTTTCTGGATCTCACCCATGCCAACCTGCCCGACTGACACCCGGCGCCTGAGTTTTTCCTCATCGGCCATCGCAAGTGCCCATCCGTCGGCTGTCGGAGGATGGAAAGTTGGGGGGCCAGCGGATGGTCTAAGTTCCGGTAGTGACGCATCGGCCGCATCGGCCACGCTTTGTACAGGGTACCCTTCGCCCGTATTGAAATGACCATATACCGTGGCTTGCAGCGTAGCCATTGGCAAAGAGCAACTTGGGTAGCGCCCGAACACGCGCGTTCCATGATTTGAAAGGCACATGTCAGGGTTGTTGGCTCTGGCTCTCACATGCGCAAAGGACCCAATGAAAAGCGGCGAGTCGTTTGGTTGAATGGACACCTTCATGGGCGAGCTTTTGCCCTGATAAATAAATGGCTCGGCCGTGCGGCTTGCAATGAAGCAACCTCTCTTCATCTCACGAAGGCGACCCACCTGGCCCTAAAAGCAACAGAAACCAACGGGAGTTGATCAAACGTGGCTTTCTTTTTGACCCCGTTTGGCTGTTTTTTTGGGGGGGCCATCCATTTGTGGACATCCCTTTGACCCCCATAGACACCAGTGTTCGTTGGTGCCTTTTGAAACGAGACCCAACAAACTCAAATATGAGATACTTACAATAGTGAGCCCAGCATGAACACATGTAACTGAAAAGGTTACAAAGGTAAGCCAAGTCCAGCAATGAGAGGGTCGGCAAAAAGTCGACTGACGTTGACAACCCCCAGGAGCAGGGCCGAGGGAGTGACAAAGAAAAGCTGTGATGGCAATGATCGTCAATCATTCTTGTCAACTGGGTTCGTCCTAGATTTTCGGTTGGTTTCCCTTGAAACCCGCCTGAAAAGGTAGCTTTGGTGTGAGGGGATCCCTCTACTTCTCCCAAAACCGGTTAGGGTGTTTTCAAAGATAGGCACCTCCAATGATATGTTGTTACGTGTTTTCGCTGCGCGCTCCTGCAACACTGATCAAACGCTCCAGGGATTAGTCACACAGAGAGGTTTAAGGGTCGCAAACACTGGCTGTTCGGGAGCGCTTCTGAATCGTCATTGAAAGTGCCCAAAAGGAATCACTCACTTTTCACTTTCCAGCGCGACGAAGTCGACTTCGTCTCAATCACTCATTTGAGCCACGGTCAAAATGATTTGCTTCCCCAAAGGCACATGGGAAATTTAGGGTTCCTCCCGTCTGGATGCTTGTGGGACTTCTAGTGAGCCCCCCATGTCCCGAACCCTAAACAGGCCATAGGCAAATCTGGAAAACCTGCGCAGGAGGAGCACCTTGCCCGCCATACACTCCTCGGCTGGCAGGCCAACGGGGTTATGTCTTAGGCTTAGGGACGAGGTTCAGTGGACAAAGGCTGCAGGGTTAGACGTTACAGGTTAAACCCTACTTATCAGAGCTGTTTGGACAGATACTAGCCATGTACTACCTGGGGTGGTGGTCCAAGTACCCTTCCCCCTTGCCACAAAAAAGGGTAGTGCTTTGAGTATGAGTTTGCCAATGACATAACGATAGCCCTAGGGATAATACTGAAAGGCAGCCAGCATGAACACAGCCAAGCAGTCCTTTTGATGAGGCTCAACTGGAAGCAAAGAAGCAGGTGTGTATGGCCAGCCCCTTCCAACCTCAGAACATGCGGATCTCCAGTGGCCATGGGACAAAGGACTTCAAAGGAACCCCCCAACCCCTCCTAAAGCCACAAGTTCCCAAGCCCTGGTATGATAGCGAGTGTTTGCAGGCCCGCACCGAAAGAAAACCGACCCCGAAAAAAACAAGGACTAAACGTATACCAGAACAATACAAACGAGCTAAAGAGACACAACAAAGGGGCACCCTAAAAAAGCAACATAAAGTAAGGGGAGCCCCAAACTAAACGACTAGATCGGCATTGTATGTGGGTGTTTGGTAGTCGATTTCCCAAGTACCAACCAATGGGGGTGCACCAGAACCAACTCAAAAATGGGTGGTTTCCTTCTGCAACTGGTGGCTGTGTTTTTTTGTGCCTGTTTTTGGGTTGGCGAAGGACACCAAAATGTTTGAATCGGGTTTAGGGGGAGCTGCAAATCCCTTGGGATGAATGCGGTTTACATGCCCTGGCCCGCGTGCTCTGGGGAGCCGTGCTGCCCCGGTCCGATGTGGAGCAGGCTTCAATCGGCTACTTCACCCGACTTCCGCACATTTGTAAATTTTGGGGCTCATCACAGTCAGGTTTACCTTGAATCTGACTGGCAGAGTTTCTGAAAGTCAGGCTATGCAAGTGTCAGACTTCCTCCAGAAGGGCATCCTACTGGCTTGCCCACTGCTCATGGGAAAAAAGAAGAGACGCACCACCTCATTTTGACAAGAACCCAACTTTGAAAACAGGAAACAAGGGTACCACCGGGCAGCTGGGCCTGTGAAATCCCCTGGTGTTGCTGTGGGTTTTCTATGGGTTCTAGTTGTAGCTGCGGATTACGCTGGAGCCAGGCGGAAGCGAGGATAAGCCAAAGTACCGTGTTGTTCCGAGGGTTAACCCCTGGAAAACACAGAGACTCAAAAGAAATGCAAAACGCTTTTACAGGGGTCCTCCTTGAGGACAATAACGTGAACCCATAACAAGTGCAGAAACCCTGCACAAAACGAGGGTTGCTTTGCTAATCCTTCCATTGATCGAAAAGGAGCCCTGATTGCGACATTTCAGCCAGGACAACCCCCAAATAGTTGTTCCCTAGTTGGGAGGTCTTTGGCACCCTAGGTGTTGCGCCGTAGGCTACCAATTTCCAATCATATTGGGCAAATGTAACTGGTTCGAATTTGCCCAGACATAGCCCATGAACACTAGATTTAGAACCAGCCTTCCTTGCTGCAGTTTTGGGCAACACCGGATGGTTCGAATGGATAACCCATTCAGAAATTTCGTAGGGACCTTCATCATTGGGCTCGAGCTCGTTTTGCCCCCGTTCGGTGAGGTCGCAACTAGTGGAGTGCATTCCGATATTTCATGCGGGAGGGAACAAACCCATCTCGTCGCACTGCGCCGAAATGTCACCTTAGGCCCAACCACATCTTCACGTATCCGTCGTGAATTTGGGCTGTGGTTGGGCCCTTGAGCTTACCTCTTGCAGGAAGCTCCCAGTTCGTGTCATTGAAGCCTATCCCGTGGATCCCATGAGAAGTCTCGGCAAGAACAACTTGTGTCCGACCAAAAGCATACCCAACTCAAATCCTGAGTGAATTTGCCAGAAACGGTCCAAACTGTTTGTGCACTAAGATAATCTTCCCAACAAGTTTCAGCTTAGCATCCTGGCACTGAGTGAGGCAAAGGACCCGGAATTCCGGGAGCCTCTCCAAGAAACTCGCCAACCTCACGGCTTTTTGGCGGGTCATTGCCGAACTTCCTGGAGCCTGTTACTTCTTAGAAATGGAACGCACACATGCAACTTGGGAATTTGAAGACCCTCTGGTTTCCATGCTTGCGCTTGGCGTGTGTTTGCAGTAAGAACCCAGAGAAACATGTCCTGGTGCACAATGTCCCCCTTTCCACAAGGAAAGTCTTCTCGAAAGAAGGCTGCGCGGCACAAACCACAAGTTTGTGTGTGCAAGGGGTCAAACACAGCGTCACAAGTCCGGATGGGTCGGCTTGGGCTAGTGAGATGGACATAGCCATGCTTCAAAGGGAACAGGCTTTTTTGTTTCCGGGTGAACAAAAAAGCACCGAACCCGCGAGATCGTGCGGGCCTTCATTTTTGAAACCCCATGGCTGATTTCTTGGGACAAGAGCAATGAGATGCGCAGCGCCCAAAATTCATGGATGTTTGGTTCTACCAGCATGGTTGTTCAGGTTCAATCAGACCCCTCGTTCATCCGCATGAAACTCGGTAGCAAAGCCAACCACTGAAATGGCCAGTTAGAATTTGCATGCTGCAAGTGGGTTGAAGTCTCCGGCACCTGAGCGTCAATCATGCCACTCCATGCCTGTCGCCGCACCATGGGCGTGTCATCGCCACAGAGCCTCGTGTTGCAAAATGGAGATCAAGAAAAAACCTGAGCTCACAAAGCTCTGCCAAGTCGTAGGGGCTCCTCGATTCCTTGCTAAATGTGTATACATTAGCGGGATCTCAACACAAACCGTCCAAAAGTGTATGGCCGGAGACCGCCAAGACTTTATGAGAACTCAACACCCTTTGTTGGTGGCATTCAAAGAAACAGCCAGGAAAGGGGAAAGGGCCGGAAAGGGATGTGAGATTGGAGATAGTGGAATTATCAAGTTTTCTGAAGTATCTCTCTTGAGGCAAACATGTTTCAAACAACTTGAAGACAGGGATGCTTTGCTCTTCTCAAGTAGCGGACCTGCAGCAAAGCTGAAATCGCCCGCTTTACGCGGATCGGCGAGCTCGCATGAACAAAAGGAAGACAAAAACAAATGCCCTGCACGATTTGCCAAGGACGAAAAAAAGAAGCCACTCATAAACTATTCCCCTGTTAATTAATAGGCAAAAATGGATTTCTGAGTTTCCCCCCAGTTTTCGGATGGTTTCCCTGTGAAAGCACTGAGTTGCATCCTAGCGAGGTTTTGTCCCAATCGGCCACCTGCTGACTCCTCAATGGACAGGTTGCTTGCAAGATTCCAAGCTAGTGCAATAATATGGTTCGGGGAAATATGACTTTGGGATCACAAAACGTGGGCGTTAGACCCAATTTGATACGACCAAGCTGTTGCAAGCGCCATCCAACACGCACCGCCTGCATGGGCAACACGAGTGCTATCGGCAATCTGGCGACGCTTCAATGTGAACAAACTCACCATGGTTGAAAAAGGCCCCAAAGGCCAAGGCTGGTTTTCAAGTTGGAATTGTTGAACGACCGAACACAAATGCGCCAGGGTCAAGCCACGCGTTTAGAATCAGGGGCCCCTTGGCGGACCCCACTGTTAATTTGAGGGCTTGACAAGCGCAACCCTCAATAAACGGGGTACCCAAGGGTGCATTTCCAGTGTTCTAGTAAGACCCCGCAAAAGCCTACATTGAATCAAACCCGCGTTGGACATTTATCAACCAGGGTTTCAACCACTTCCTCATTACTGGCTTGGGCAGTGGTCATGCAAGGGATC